AAAATAGCCCAACCAAACACCTTAAAAATATGGATACTATCTGCAGTCAAAATAAAGGCAAAATCTACAGATGAGAGTTCAACTGAAAAAAATGAATGAGGGAGCTGGTACTTCTAACACACCTGCAGCAGGAGAAGGACTGGGACACCTAGTCTCAGGAGTAGGTGGACGCCGTCTGGCAAAAAGAGCCTTGTCTGGATGCGCTAGACAGAAGGTGAAAAAGGCAAGAGCTGAGGCAAGCAAAGCAGGAACTGGGAGCAGTCAGCAACCAGGAAATGCAAGCTCGTACAAGCAGGGAGAAACCCCCACCGGGCACCTTTAAGAGGCCAAGGTCAGAGGGCAGTACCCCTACAGAAACAGCCAGAACTCCAAAAAGGCCCAGGGACTTACAAGGAGGCTCTGACCAATATAAAGGTAGCTATCTTCAAGGAAACTTATCCTGAGGATAAGCTTACCGAAGATGACCAAAATTCCATNTTAGAGACCATCTCGCAAAATATATGCACAATAAAGGATGCTGATCAGTCTGTTGACCAGTTGAAAGGGGCCATTATCTCGTCATTTAATCAGAATTGTCCGGCTAGGACCACTCGCGGACCAAGGAGAGNCAGAACTACCACACCTTAAATCCTACAGACTAGTGGGAGGTGCACTTATTTATCTGCCGACCAACAGTCTGGTCAATGGCTCACCAAAGCCACTGACAACCACAGGCTGGAATCAGGGNAGGTTTAGAACCAAAACAAGAAGGCTCTTTAATACAGCTAAAAGAACAGGGCAGTGGAACACCTACAAGGAAGCCCTTACCTGTTCCAACAAAGAAATAAGGAAAGCCAAGCGATNGGACTTCATAGTGAGAACTAAAGGGTACTCGATAAGCAATCTGAGTTGAAAGGCCAGAGGCTCATTTCATTCATAGACCGGGACTCCCATACGAGTACTATTATACAGAGGACTGGTTACAAAATATTTACAGGACTCTCANCCAACAAAGAAATAAGGAAAGCCAAGCGATCACCGTGGAGGAGGCACTGCCAAGAGATCAATGACGAACCAGGCAGTGCCAGGCTCATGAGGATCATGGCAAAACAGGTGACCAATAAGGTCAGCACAATTAAGCTGCCTAAGAGCAGTATATTCAAACAGGAAGGGAGACACTGAACGAATTATTCAGGGTTCACTTTCCTGATTCAAAATTGATTGATAATTTGGACAATGTACAGGATCAGCAAAACCTGGACACTTACGAAAGCAAGATGAACAGGGCAGACTGGAACCTGGCCAAAGTCGTAATTAACCAATCAAAAATCAGATGGGCACTGAATACCTTTACACCNCAGCACATACAAACACCATGAAATTTCTTCAAATTAACCTAGCTGAGGGTGAGGCAGATATAGCACTTATTCAGGAACCTTGGTTATACAAGGGTCAAATAAGGGGCNTAGTGGGAACAGACGGAATTGTACCGGCACTTTTGCAGCATGGGGCAGAACTCTTAGTTCCACACCTATGGCGCATATATAGAGCCTGCATGGCATATGGTTTCATCCCCATGGCCTGGAGGCAAGTTAAGGTGACGTTTATCCCAAGGCCTGGGAAACTTGATCACACCGAGGCTAAGGCTTATCATCCTATCATCTTTCCTTTTGTAAACGACAGAGAAAATAGTGGATAGGCATATCAGGGACGGGACGTTGAGGACATATCCTCTACACCGAAACCAACATGCCTACCAAACAGGTAAATCTACCGACAGTGCACTACACAATGTGATAACACGCATAGGAAGTGCGATTGAACACAAGGATATTGCCTTAGGAGCATTCCTTGACATAGAGGGAGCTTTCGATAGAACCTCATTTGATATAATCAAACAAGCTGCTGGAAGGCATGGCATAGAGCCTGCAATATGCAGATGGATCAATGCTATGCTGGAAAGCAGAATCATAGCTGCTACATTATC